TTGGTATTCATTTTGAATTCCATTGATCACAGCTATTTTCAGAACGAATGATTTTTATGTGATTCTATGTAATCGTTTTAACTTTGCAGTTTCATCGGAAGTAGTGGAATCCAAGAAGGATTTCCCGTGCTATTCACTGCCGCGGGAGAATTAAGCATGTAGCACCTGTATTCAGTTTCATGATACCTGTGCTTGGTGCAGCAAAGCGGTAATTTTTGTGTCTAGCACTTTTTGAACATCTAAATTGTCAGGTGTTTTAGAGTTTAACGGATTTATGCTGGTGTGATACTGCTAAGAAAATCATGTACAGTTTGATGTATCGAACATTGTAATTTCAGACTGTTTTATTTCTGCTACTTCTAATCCTTCTCTGTACTTTCTGCTCATTAGTTTTTAAGTTTGTTTTTTATAACTGTATACGTAGATTTATTATTATTTGTTGTATATATTGTACATTTATAATGTTTACATTGTGCAGTATGTTTATTATTATTTATTATTTTCCTTTTCAACTATATACGTAGAAAAACTATATTTATTGTATATATACGTAATACACGTATTATTTACGTATATATAATAAATACATTGTTTTATGCATATAATAAATATATTATTTTTCTCGACTCCCGGTATTGAGACTGTAAGACCTGTATGACAAAGTAGCAGATCTGGAAAATGAGGCGAGTGGTTGGTGTCAGTAAATTTTCAAATTGTGAAAAATTTAAAAAAAAAAGGAAATGCATTTAGTGGAGGAAAAAATTTTTCATTTTCAGAATTTTGATGATAAAAGCCAGCATTCACGATTTCCAGAATGGATGTCCAGAAAGCGAGATTGAAAATCCAAAAACAACAGCCAGAATCACTGAGGTATGTGTGACACAGCATTTTGTCCAATAGTCATATGTACGCAGTGTGTAACTTATTCTCTTTTTGCACGTGGCTGCTGTTGTTTCATCACTATAATTCGTGTGATTGCAACTTCTCCATTCTTCTCATTTTTGAGCTTCTCGCATGTAAGCGTTTTAGTGGGCATCTATGCGTGCATATTTTATACACAATAATTTACCAAGATTATTAATTTTTAGTCGATGGGAACCGTTGTTAATGATGTTGCTAGGGTACTGTCACGCGGAGGATATAGTTTTGCTAGGTATTTTGGCCCAAATTTGTATGCCTTCATCGTCTAAACGATGTAATTTGTGTTGCCTGGTGGCCATTCGTAAACCACTGTAAGGCGAAAGGCCTTACGAACGAGAAGATAAGAAATTATGCTAATGTTAGAATTCTGATGCAATGGGTGGAATGAATGTAACCAAATTGTTTTGTTTTTATTTTATCACGTGGTTTTTTTAGTAATTATTTGAATTGAATTGTCAAGTGTGGTTTTGCTTGTTTCAGCCCAGCGATGCATTACCAGATGTGAGTAGTTCGGTTGGCGTTCTAGCAGACGACCCGAGAAATATTGTCACTCTCATCGAAGAAGAGTACAACGAAATCTCACAAAAAATTATCGTGGTCGATAACGCGAATGCAGTCAGGGATTGCAGCTTTCTTATCGTTCAAAATGCCTCGAGTAAGTTGCAGTGAGTTTGAGTTGAGATATTCTCCAAAA